TTCGTTCATTATACTTGTCAATATTTTTCTCGTTATTATTGGAATCAGCAGATCCTAATATATTTATCATCAAATTAATGGTAGATTCATTAAAACCTTTTCAAACTATAAGACTAGCTTTGCAGATCGGTTTTTACAAAAAAAAGGCATTTATTTAAATAACATTTTCTTTAGCGTCGGGCCAGGTCTGGGCCGGGCCGGGCGGGCTTGAATTAGTTTTGGGCCGCATTGGGCCGGCCCGAACCATAAAAAAGTGGCCCGTTTCGAGCCCTGTTCCATAATATCCATAATCTATTCTGTAGTTCACTAAATGACGTAAATGTATTCCAAACGGGTTCAAAAGAAATCAATTACAGCATAATTCGGCACTCGCATACCAACAAAACAGGAATACTAGATATTTAGTGAAGTATCAGGAACTATACTGAATTATTTGAACATTCAAATGAACCCATGAAAAAATGGATTCACAGTTGAAAGAATAGAAACGCGTTCTGGTGTCTAAAAACGCTATATTATGAACATAGTTCTTAAATAGTAATACTTGTTACAGAAAACCGCTAAGAGTGTCTTAAGACCGTGTTTTACAAGAACGTGCTATTCCTTATGGGAAAGCGCTCTTATTTTAAAGAATAAAAAAGATGATCTTCAAACTTATCTAGTCTTCAAACGGGTACCTTCTCGTATGGGTGTGGGTGTGGGTGTGTGTGGGTGTGGGTGTGGGTGTGGGTTGGTGTGGGTGTGGGTGTAGGTGTGGGTGTGGGTGTGGGAGTCAGCATGGATGTACATTGTCAGAGACACCAAACTCACAACCTCCCACACCCACACCCATATCGATATGGTTGATTAGAAAAGAAGTTTTAATAACAATGGATTAGATGGTAACTGGACTATAAAATGCTAAATATTTATATCTGATGAATGTATTAAATGCTAGCTACCATGTTCTTCACCAGTCGAGTTATCATCATCTAAAACTAATGGAAAAGAAATATTATTTTTTGCACCAATTTTTAAAAAGATTAAGGCATTTACGTGCATGTATTTCTGATTGACAGAGACTGGCCATTGGTATATTTCTGATGAACGAACTTGTTTAAACTCTTTCTCTAAAAGTAAATATCGGAAGATGTGTTTGAACAAAAATGCCTAGGTCTGAAGGAATAGTTAAGACGTGCCCAAATATCTTTAATTTCTTCTTCGGAGCAAACCTGTTTTGAAAATATTTTAAAGTTAAAAACAAAAATACAAATTGTTGCTGCTGCATTCGTTGTTTTTCGTTTACTTCATCAGCTGAAAACAACTTCATTAGATGTCGCGTCATTTTCATAAATTCGATTATTTGAATACAGTAAATAATTCTTTTTTAAGAATGTGCATTACTTTTGGATTGCATACTGAAAATTTACTATTTCTCAGAGCACGTTGAAAGAGTATTTCGACTATTAATGAAAACTACAGTACCAACAATCAATACTGTTGGATCCGATAAGCTCCCGGGTGTCGGATAAAGATGGATCCTGTTATTGGAATCCAACTGCATCCGACAGTCGGAAAGCGTCGGAAATCAAAGGATATAGCTGGTTTCCGATTGTCGGCATCCTGTCGGATCCGACCGTCGGATAATGTCGGATTTTTATGGGTGCTATCGGATCCTCTGGGGCAGTTTCGACCTGGGTATGAGCTCTCGCGGAAACAGTTTCGCAGTATGTTTTTATATAGCTGGAAAATTAGCTTAACATATGAGAAAGCTATGCCTGTTTGTCGAAAGCATGCTGGCGATCGAGTACCTTCTGACGATATAGTACTCAATTGTTTTCATGAATCTCATTAGAGCAGAGTTCAGTGTTGAAAATTTTATTCGTCATGGTCGACCTCGAACTACTCTCAGTGTACAAATGATTGATACTGTTTGAGCAATAATTGAAAATGATCCATTTTCAAGACAGGAACAGAAAGGAGACATCATGGGCAATAATTTGCTATTGGTCCTTTCAATTATGAGTGAATGTTTGAAGTCGTGCGAAGTTTGTACTCGATAAATGCCTCATGAGCCAATCGATGACTAGAAAACACTGGTGCACTAAGACGTGCCGTTATTCGGCAAAGAGTTCTGTAGAAGATCAATCTCTTCGCACGGTCAACATTGATACTGTTGCTGAATGATGGCTCTATCAATTAGATTAGAAAACAACAGATAATTAGTAGTTGGAATGCAAAAACCTGATATGCACATAGCTAAAGTTCATTAAAACACCAATTTAGACAAATAAATGATGGTTATCTTCTTCATGGAATCTCATTCAATCAAGTTATCACCGTTAAAATCTATTAAGATGATAAATACACGTTATTATGTTATACATTGGCCGGTTAGAAGCCTTCAAAACTATATCGAAAGGAAAATAAATGATCGATTCTTAAGGTTTGAATTGGTGCATATTGAAGTAACTTATGCTTTACAGTATCAATCTGCAGCAATATCGATAGGTAAATCATATATATATATATTCCTTACTCATACTTGTTTACTAGCGAATGACTGTGTGACTGAACTGAAACTTCTATATACATATACAGATTCGACGCCTATGTTTACCTCATATGTAGATGTCTATCTAATCTACCCAGGCAGACGTCTGTATTCGAAAGGATCCGGTAAAGTTCAGTGTGAAATACTACTTCAAGAAATCGCCGGAATTGCCTATTTCTCACCATATATCACTCACCTAAGTAGTTGTTGTTAAGAAAATTGAAAAAAAAACAACAATTTAAACTCTGTACTGAATATTCACCGTGCGATTATATTTGATTTAAAGAAATAAATGAGACAATATTTGTTAAATAAAATATACAGTTTTGTAGAAAATTTCAAAGGCAATCTTATGATAATAACAAGTATTTGAGTAAAGTGAAGAATAGAGAAGAAATATTGAAAATACAAACAGCACAAAATTTTTTATATGCTATACATTATTTTTATTGATTAATAAGATACTTATCTAATTGATCGTTTTTTCAATACTTGATCTGTTATTTTTAATTGCAAAATTTATAGAAAATATATCTTATCTATCATGAAAACAGTTACATAATACCATTGTTATTCTCACTAGTAACGCTGATTGCGATTACAGTTAAAATTGTTATATCAGAATAATTGTAAAACGAAAGCATGTTTATGTAATAATGATCAACAAATCTGGTTCGAGTTTTTGTTATTTAAATTGAATGAGTTTCATCATATACAATCCATAGCTGGAATATTTTATCAAAATTTTATTTTGCAGAATGAAGAATTTAGAAATATTTATATTCATTGTGAATATACTTAGTTATAGTTATTAGAAAATGTTATAAGTATTTCATTACAATTATCAGACGAACATATATGTGACCAAATTCTAACATTTCTCCCTTTTTTTTCACTGAATAAATTTCATTATTACTTTTAACTTGATTTAAAAATATATTTCTGTTCAGAACCACCTCATTACAACTTTATATAAATCTTTTGAGTTTTAGTAAGAACTTTTTGTGTTTAATCACAAAACTAATCGAGCATTTACTCTCTTCATTGTGAAAAAGTCTCAATAAAATAAAGTAAATAAACTAAGATGTATAGTTTAGAAGAACGAATTACATACATTCTTTTTTTATTCCTTCTTTTACCAATGCATTATCCATTCAAAGCAAAACAAAGAACATATAGACATATAACTAGGCTAGAAAAAGTAAACAAATCTTGTTTTTCATATAAAATAAAATGTCCATCAAGATGAAATTTGAATTATTACCAAACGAAATATTCGTTGAATGTTTTCAGTATCTCAATGCACCAGATATATTCAATTCATTTGATCGATTAAATTATCATTTTCATACACTTATTCGCAATAGTCCATTACATCTTAATTTTCAACAATTTAAAAAATCTTTATTTAATGAATTTTGTCAAACAATATTAACAAATCCAGAAATTAAACAAAATATAATTTCTTTACAATTATCAAATGAAAGTACATGTGGACAAATTCAATCATTTCTCTCATTAATTTCATTAAATGAATTTATTCATCTTCGATCATTATCATTAATTGATATAAATGACGAGAATGACGAACAATTATTATCGATGTTATCATTGTTATCCAATTTAGACTGTTTTTCTTGTACTTGTTCGGAGTATAAAACTTTAAAAATAATTTCTGTCTTAACAAAATCAAAAATACGAATGTTAACAGTACCACAATTCAATTTTAACTCAACATCTGTTTATAAAACAATGTCAATTACATCATTAACAATTTCTAATTGTGATTTATCTGATTTATGTCAATTATTTAAATATACACCGATGTTAAAATATTTGAAATGTGAACATTTCTATAATAGTCAGATTACGGATGATGAATTAAATTTTACTAATACAAATATTGTTTATTTACAAAAATTAATTATAGATTCTTCTTCAGCTAAATTTCAAGTTCTTGAACTTTTATTAAAACGTATATCGAATTTGAAAATCTTTTCAATATTTGCACCAAATGTATTAGAGTTGATTGATGCTAATCGATGGCAACATCTTATTGAATCTTCACTACCATATTTACATACATTTAACTTCAATTTTGGTTATTACGCTCATCATTCTTACAATGAAAAATTGATTAAATTTCAACAATTTCAAACTGATTTCTGGCATAAACAACATCATTGGTATACAAATTATGAAATTGAAGGATTTACAGCTTTAATTTATACATTGCCATATGTCTGGAATGAATATACATTAACATCTACTATGAATAGATACAATGATTCTTTGATAAGTTATTCCAATGAATTTGATAATGTTAAGAATTTATTTTTATGCACAAAAGCAATTAAAAATAATTCACCATGTTTTTTTAGAAATATACAATCATTAATATTAATAAATGAATGTGATTTTTATGGTGTGGTGGATAAATACAAATTACAAGTAAAACAAATAGAATATCTTAATATGATTGTCAATGTATCAAGTATCAAACATTTAAAAATTGCTGGAGAATGTTATGTCACATCATCAATATTATTAGAAATACTAAAAAATATTCCAAATATATCATCATTAACAACTGATAAACAGATTTTAATAACATTTCTTGATAATCAACAATTATGCGAATATTTAAACATGAAGATTAAACGATTAGATATTTCTATTGATTGGAGTGATAGCTATATTCAATCTAATAAAATAGATTTTTTTTGTAAAATATTTTCAAATCTTGAACAACTTCAATGTTATATTGAAAATCTTGATGATTTATTATTAATATTAACAAAATGTTCAAAATTATCAATGATAAAGATCTTAAAAATTAATAAACAAATATATACATGGATTCAAAACAATGCACCGATATTAAATGTTTATATTGATTTTACATTAGATGATTATGAATCCGATGATGATATGGAAAATATTTGAATCGATAGAAACAATAAGTTTATCATATTGTTAAACGCGTTCTTTTTATTTACATATTAAATAAACATTTTGAAAGATTTATCAACCAAGACCTCTCATATTAGCGACTATAGATATTTCTATTATTCACTTTTTCATAAATACAGGATGATTCACCTATTTTTACTAGTTTTTCTTCACTTTATTATACTTCGGCTAAACTTGAGAAGTTATTTAGTTTAATATGGTTAAATAGAGCGTTCATTTCTCTATCGAACTGTGCATTTTTTATCTGATTTATCCCTCATCTTGACTGAGAATTTAGCAAAAGTTTTAAAAGCCCTCAAATTTTTTTTTTTGCACGGTGATATTTAGCTGCAAGAGAAATATCTCATTGAAAATAAATCTAATTGTCGCAAAAGTGGTCTCAGATTGAGGAAATCTCTGGGAGTCATGTTTGGATAAAGTATTAAATCAAACTGTCATGTATTCGAGGAGAACGCTTAATTTTTATTTTTTTTTATTTTGAGTCACCTAGCACTTTTCGTTACAATAATGAAAAACAGATTTTAGGGCTATTTGTATAATGCAGAATTGATGTAAAAGCTATCAGCTAAGTCAGATTCGAATTAGATAATTCGATAGAGAGATCAACGCTCTATCCAGGCACATATTAAAGAGTAAAAGACTGAGATGCTTAGACAACTAAAATTTCATTGCAGAAAAACAGAGGATTCTATGAAAATGTCTCAGAAAATCATCAAGTTTATTATCAAGATAAAGAATAAGTTCAATAAAAAATATAAAGTCCGATAGAGAAACGAATGTTCTATTCATCTATATAAGAATAAAAAAGTTTCAGTACTCACATAGGTATCAGTTACAGGGAAAATTAACTGAGAAATGATCTGAAAATTGCTAAGTGCAACAATTTTTTTTGGAGGGTTTTTAAAGCTTCACTAAATTCTCAGTCAATGTGAGAGATAAATCAGATAAAAAATACACAGTTCGATAAAGAAATGAATGCTCTATCTGACAGTATAAAAAGAAATAACTTCTCAAGTGTAACCGAAGTATAGTAAACTGAAGAAAAACTAGTAAAAATAGGTGAATCATCCTGTATATAAAAGATCGTTTAACAGTACATTTGTATCGGAAGCAATTTTATTGTCTACTTTTACGAGTTTAAGCTGTTTTACTGTAGAAATAAACATTGATTATCCTTAAATAAACTTTTTGTGTACAAATGATTATCATTAAATTTTTACGAAATAAGTTCAATTATTTTATTAACAAATTTGTATGTCTTTGAAATAAACTTAAAATTTGAGAATTCCATGATGTGTCAAAGAGATCAACTCGATCACAATAATCTGATCGGTGTCAAACTTTACACATAAGTCGGACAGCAATTCAAGATGAGGCAATGATTTCGTTCATTTCAATTTTTTTGAGAGCATTCATATGAATTTAACAAAAAGAATGTTTATTTCAAAGGAAAAAAAAGCAATTTCTAATAAATTTCCCTTGATTTTTCGAATATATCAAATATTTTCTATTAAAGTCTTATTTTTTTTTATATGCATTATTATTTAATATACATCACCTGTGATAAGAATATGAACACAATGGTTAATTTATTATAATTCTGTGCAGCTTATGTTAGTTTCTTGAAGGCTCAAGCAAAGATTTTAATTTTACACGTTTGTTATTAATACTATATTAACTTATTTTATCCGCCTTACCACAATGTTTCCTTCCGAGACAAGTCAAATCGAGTCAAAGAAAAATAAATATTTCGTTTTAAAGAAAGTATATCTTTGATAAAAGATTAAAGAAATACTAGCAGATGATCTTGAGTATGAAAACAACAAGAAATAAAAAGAACAATTTAAGCAAAGACAAGGTGCACATCTTAATGTTCTATTAAATAGCAGCAATTCCGGCATATGTATGTAAAACAAACACATAATCAATATTTTGAGCCACAGCTAAATGTACATCTGGCAAATATGTGTAATCAAGAAATGAAAATTGATTAACTTTCACTGATGGATATACACAATTACCCGATGCATGATTAAATACTTTTGTTTCTTTGGCCAATTTTTCAATATTCACACGATAATATGAAATGAGATTATCTCATGGAACTGAATTTCATAGTGTTTCATCTGGCAGACGTTCGACAACTAATTGATGTGTATCGAAATCGAATATGAGGTGATTATAAACGTGAATTAAATCACGAACTTCAGCTATGTTACACTGATCCATAGGACAAGTATATTGTTTTTTAATGAAATGATCTTTCGCTGATAACATTCGAAAGAGACTAGTATCCGACTTTTGTTCTGTTTGTTTGAATAAATGTTCATGGTAGCCTAATACAGAATTTGTTGTACATGGTACCCAGATTTCCCCATCGTCCTCATCATTCAAATATTGATCAACAAGTTTTTCATCATCATTGCCTAGAGACATTCTTCGCTGATAAGCGAGAATATCGACCTCATTTAAATGACCCCAATACTTCATATCGGTATTTGAACAAGATTCTTCTACTTCAAAATGAAGACATGATAAAAGATCTTGTCCAATAAATTTCGATTGATGTCAATTTGTCATATATGTTCGATCGACACCATAATCTAAATTAATCATTGGTTGCCATCAATTTTCATCTCTTTACTTCACTCGATATAGAGAATCATAACAATTTCTATTATTAAATGCATCAGTC